ACTACGAGTTGTTACAACCGGGTGAAACAATCACGGCAGACCGCTACCAACAACAATTGACCAATTTGAGCGATGCATTAGAAGAAAAGAAGCCATTTACTGGCCAAGGACGTCGTAAAGTGATCTTGCTTCATGACAATGCTCGACCACATGTTGCGAAAGCGACTCAGGACCATATCTTTGCGTTAGGCTGGGAACTTCTTCCGCACGCGGCGTATAGCCCAGACATGGCGCCTTCCGATTACTACCTATTCCGGTCGCTACAGCATCATTTGGCTGATACACATTTCGTGAGATTAGAAGAAATACGAAAATGCATTGATGACTTTATCGCTTCGAAGCCGGTGAGTTTCTATAGTCAAGGAATTCGCAAGCTACCCGAAATATGGCAAAAGGTTGATGCAAACGGAGAATATTTCGCTAATTAATATTTTTTCGTTTGTTTTTGAATAAAGATTGAATTTTACAAAACAAAGCTCAGAACTTTTTTGTACACCTAATATATAGTAATTCAGATTGAATTGTATAATCTAACTTTGACTGTTAGGGCCATTACTTCTATTCCTTATTGTTCAGTTTTTAAAATAATTATGTTATGCCATCTATAAAATAATATAGTATTAAGATGCTATAAATTATGTAAAATAAACTGTTAAATTCTATGTCAAGTACGTAGTAAAGTTCAAAAGTTTCCTGTCTAGGTCATAAAAAAGATTACATAAAATGAAAAAACATTTTTTTTTTTCAAATAATTATCCTTTATAAATTAATTTTTCCGCACAACTAAAAAAATATTCTAAATGTCTTTAAAATAATATAATTCTGCAGTGGTCACTTCTTTATCATTATGAATTTCTTTCCACGCAAATTGGACTACAGCTTTAAAAAAAAGAGTAACTGTAGGAGCTAAGTCAGGGTTGTAGGACGGATGAGTTGAAAACTTACAATTGAAACTTTATTGTAGAACCAGAAATATGCAGTAATGCAATATTGTGCATTTTAGAATATAATAGAATAGTAGGGGAGAGTTGCCGAATGCGTACTACTAAACCTATTTTTTATTATATTTTCCATTTGGCTGGAGTATATTTATTGCGTCATCTGTAATTTACTGAAAAATACTTAGGCTGCAATTTATTTGAAGCTACAAAGGCTTCGAAGCATTTTATTGACCAATCACAGGCGATTGGTTTATATTCCAATAATATTTTATTGGATATTAATCTTCTCGCTTTCGAGTGTGATTGGACAATTTCTTACGAGTTACGACTCCTATTACAGATGTCGCATAAATCTCGCACGTCTGTCGATCCTGTCAATCTATTATATACATACTATATCTACTAAATTTGTTTATTAAATAATTTAGAGTTTAATTCTTTTATTTGAAATATATAGATATATACGACGCCGCTATTCGCCGCCGCCACCGATAATTATCATCTGCCGATTATCGCTGCCGCCGAAAGAGAAAATTTTCGGCGAATTCGCCGCCGCCATTCTGTTTTTGCTCTAACGCCGCCGCCGGTATAAACTAAAACGGCGCACGAGTCTGCCTGTACTGCATCAATACTATAGAGATCTCCTGCACAGTCTCTCTCCTGTCGATAATAGTACGTCGTATTGCTACGGTACTGCATATGTACTATGACGTACCTAAACAGTATGCAGTACAGGTACAATGTTGATACAGTGTACTATAATATCATGTATACTTTTTATATTGTTACCGTATAGTTAAGCCGTACTCCGCCATCTCGTGGCAGTACCGTAACAGTACGATAGTGGTACTTTGTGCAAGTATCGCACGCTTGGTTATCTGGGATGATGCAAAAAGTACGATTTAGACAACCGATCGCCTAAATCATACCTATAAGTATTTTTTATCGTATTTCCTTTGAAAGTATTGAATTTATGAATAAAAACAATTAAAAGTATAAGATTAATAAAAGAAATAATTAACCAATACCTAATAATTAATTAATACCTAATTGTAATAATTTATTGAAGAGAAAATCAAATATTTTATAATTATCAAATAACAATAATGAAAAAACAAATGGCACCAAAATAAAATTGGCTTAAATATATTTTTGCACTTGACATTTATAATGATATCAATTATTAGTTTTATTATTGTCAGTTATCAGTTTTATCTTTTGATGGTACGATTTAGAAAATTTGATAGATTTTGTAAAAATATCGATTTAATTTTTACAATGATTGCAAATATGTATATACAGTGAATGCAAAATATTTTACAATAAATCTTCTTTTATAAAAATATAAAAATTTATAATAAAATTGGATGATCGCGTTGTTATCGACTACATAAGTTGATTAAAAATTAATATCAAATGTGATCTTTTAAAACGCCGCTAACATCCATAAAACAAGACGTAGGCTATTATATTTTTGTCTATATTACTAATTTCTCATATATTTTATATTATTGTTTACTAAATATTACCTATATTAACTAATAATATAAAATATTGATGAGGTACGATTTAGGCGACCAGTACGCATTCGGCAACTCTCCCCTACGTTTTCTCTCGGCTTTAGCATACTAGGGGATGCAGGTACCAAATTTTAACAATAGCATTAAAACATGGAATACGGATGACTCCACTGGGACCGAAAATTCGTGTTTCAGTTCAGTCAGACCAAAAACTTCCGTATCTTACTATTATACGTAAATAGCAGTTTTCTTAGACCCAGGCAAGTAAAATTTTATAAAACACACATTTATAAATTCATCCGTAAGTACATCAAGACTGACATTTTTGTGAAATCTCGATATTTACAATTTGAATGTGTTTGTACCTACAAATATTCAGAAATATTTAGTCATGCGAAATTTAGTTTGTAATATAGCGCGGATTTTATAGCTATAGGAAAGTAGAAACATTAGAAAAAGTGTATGACAATAATATAAAGACGTACGACTGGCGAACCTCGTCTTCAGTGTGCCATAACTGCTACATTAATTGAGAAGACAGCAAGATATCGCCATAGATCAGATTAGCGTTAAAGTTTGTTAACAAAAAATATATATTTATACATAATTTGCGATCTCTGATATCGTATATTAATCCGCCACTGTGATAAAATAAGAAGTGAATAAGCAAAATCAATCACAAATTGACAAAATCGAAGTTTATTTCTTAAAAGTTTTAACTACAAAATATTTAATTTGGTATGTATATAAACTCATATTGGATTTTTGGTTTATTATTTAAATTATTTAGAAACGGGAGACAGTGTTTAAAAAACACACATATATGCGTGCATATATGTCGACTTTTATTGTCATGGATGATAACAAATAAATATACACATAAATCGACAAATATATCATTGTAATTTGTATTTATTTAATTAAATATATATTTTTCCTTAATTGAGATATAATTAGTTCCTTCATATAGCCCGTATATTTCTACATAGAAAGGCTTCAGGCTTTCTCTTTTAAAGTTGTTCTACGTATTAAGGATACTCATATGAGTATGTTATTATTAATAAAATTATCTATAACAGATGCAAAATAATTAAATTTAATTTAGAAAAAATTCAGAATTTTCAGATCAAATCTTCTGAATGTGACAAATGTTCACTGCAGGCTGAACATTTTTTGGCTTAGTATATATAATACATCGGAGAATTTCAAGTCAAAGTAACATTGAATAGTTTACAATGACACTATTGAAGGTATGAATAATATAATAAATAAGATTCTCTCTCTCTCTCTCTCTCTTCTTCCTCTATCTCCTTCCCCTCTCTCTGTCTCTAAGATAAAGTTTTCAATAATAATTTTATAAATTATGATTTTAGAATTGGTCTTCAATAATCACATTTACTAGCGGTGCAGTTGTAATGTTTCTCATGCGACAGATAAAGTATTCTACAATTTATGAGACATTAAAAGAGAAAATATATAATTGGAAGAATAATAATTACAATATATCTGAATTACCTAATCCTAACTGGATAAAAATCGGTAAAGTCAAAGAGTTGCACATACACCCACTGGCCTCAGGAGATAGAACAAAATGTTCCAAGTTAAAATTTACGCCATACGGGGCAATTACGAAACAAAAAGGATTGATCCTTCAGGACAAGTTAGTATAAAAGCTAAAATTTATTCCTCAAAAAATTAATATATTATAAGAATGTATTGCACAAGGTATAAAAATATCACTCAATATGTCTTTTGGATACTTAAAATCAGTACAAGGTTGAATATGTAAATTAATGTTTAATTAATTTCAGCTACCTGTAATTTTCACTGTTTATATCTATCACAGATTTTTATAAGTCGACTAAGCATATAAAAAGAATATAATCATTTAAAACTGTAATAAAAAATTTATATTAAAGTAACCAAATGATTATTTATCAAATATGATAAAAAAAAATTGTATGCACAATCCGCCGAAAATAACGTTGAACTTTTATTATGTATTGTTAGAATGTTCCACATATACGACGAAAAGACCAAACAATTCCAAAACACACACACTAGAACAGCCATACAACTGGTGAGGGCGGATATGTTAAGTGAGTCCCACGTACAATTCAGCCTGGCAGACTATAAAGTAACTATTGATTTAGATAAAGAAATAAGGGACAATCGCAAAATTGTGAGAGAGCTAAAAACAAGTTGGATTGAAATAAAGTATATTGATTGCGGCGAAGAAGTTGCCAAATGGTTAAACAAGTGTGTATATGTAACAATTTTTAAAATTTCGTCTATAAATTACCTATAAAAAGTATTAACTAAAATAATATATTACACAGTACATTGTGCACCTCTACTCTGCGGATAGTACGAGTAGAATATGATATTATCGACGAGCCAATAATGGAGAAAGATATGATGAAGAAAAATACTGATGACGAAGCTTGGGTAATTAACATACTTTTAAATTTTTCTTTCTTCTCAATATCTTATATATAAAATCCGATTGTTTAAGAAATACATATTTATCTCTGCAATTATGAGGCATATAAGTATGCAAGATTTGCTATATACAATGTAATGAAATATAATATAATATAATTATATTGTATATAGTAAAAGTGTATGTAGTATAAATAGTATTGTTGGTTTTTTCGATACTTATGTAGTTAATATTACACACACTATATATTATACATCAAAATTTTGTCCTATTAGGAGATATTCTTAAATTTAACCGGTTATACAGTGATAACGTTAGATACAATGTTAGAGTTTATATACAATACTCAACAATTTTTTAAAATTCAACCACATATTATCATTTCGGCTCCTTCATCTCCTATTTTTGCGGAAACAAATTGGGAATGGATCAGGATCAATAATATAATCATGAAGAGGATTATGCCCGTCTCGAAGTACGCATGTATCATTCATTATTTTCATATTATCTTCTTTATATCAAGATCTTTTATTATATTTTATCTTTTGGATCTTTCATGTTTGTGCAGAAAAAATGTTGAGAAAAATTTTGAGTCTTTACAATAGTTATAATAAAAATCATCAACAATTAGTATTTGCTTTGATTTAAAAGTTTCTTAATTTTTAAGTTTATAGTTATTTTTGTTTCTGGTTTTTTGCTTCTAATGTTTTCTCATCAGCTTAAATATTATTATAACTATAATAATATTAAAATGCATTTCAAAATAATACATTTATTCAATTTTATTTTCTTTATGTTCACATTGTTGTTATTTTGTTGAATTTTTTAAGTGTGCATTTTATTTCTTCAATTCAAATATAGCTTAACATCAGTCCAGGAATCATTCAAGAAAAACGAGTATCATCATCCGCCAAAATTTTTGGGAATTTTTTATGGATTGTTCACTACTGGAGACGCAAATGTAAATGATGACGTATATATTCATATCCCGCAAAATGATACTAAATAATGCTATCGAAATTTAATCTTTTCATGATTGTCTCAAAAATTCAGTTGCATGATATAATAATACTATTTTTAAAGTGGTACTAGTTTTAAAGTTAACAGAACAAAATTTTAAGTAGTATTAAGAAGAAGATCAGTTTCTGTTCTCAAATATTGAATTGTATCTTTGATGTTATTTTGATAATACTGCCACTAATTTATTGGCCTATAATAGACTAATGCCTAAAGTCTAATTTTGCTTTGAATTGACCCTTTAATCATTAAAAGTTATGAAATCGTAATACAGCGAAAAGATACTTCTGACATTTTAATTTACTTAATATTTATTATTTAAATTTTCATGTATAATCAATTCTTTTCAATTGCAACATTAATAATAGGTTAGAAATATGTATGCACTAGGGTAGTTTAAACTAATATTTATTGTGAGTACTGAAAGTCTTTAATATACGTGACATGAACTACAGATTTTCACTGCAAAAATAGCAGTGAATAACGAAACGCAACCACAGTTGTTTTTGCATGGAAAAAAATGGTTAAATAATTTTTACCTTACAAAACTTGTAAAGTATTATGACTATTTTTGTTGTACTTATGATAACTTTACTTGCCTGAAAGTAAAAAATACGGAATAAAAAGTACGTTATAAATAATCGATAATAATCGATAATAAACGTAGTAAATTGATTCAAGAGATTATCATCTTGCAGTATAAAATATCAATTAATCTCAAGATTGTATAAACTTGAACAACTCTTAAGACTTTATACTTGTATTTTTTATCGCGTAATAAAGTAATTTTTATCAGCAAAAACAGTTGTCGATAAAGTAACTTCTATTAAAATGTAGTTTATAGATTTACTTTACGTAAAAATATTTTACAGTATATTTAAAGGATCATTACTCATTTACTAGAAAATAAATATTGTATAAATAGGCGCCTGTCCTTTTATAAATCTGCAAATTTCATAAAAGAACTTATTAGCATTCTAGCCCATATTCTTTAGAGTTTTCTCCATGTGTAATTGTTGCGATGTTTTGCGACAAATAGTACCGAGTGCCTTTACGCAATGCAATGTTATTTGAGTTCATACGTGGCACAAAATTTTATATTATTTTATTTTATTTAAACGTAGTATATATATTTTTTCTTTATAAGTAGATAAATAGTTTCTTATAAATAGAAGAGAAGAATATTAATAACGAGAAATTGCTCTTTCAGAAGTATTTTTATAGTAATAGTAATGTCAATTTTTACAACTTTGATTTTGTATAAGATAGATTTTATAAACTTTATCTGTGTAATGTTTTTAATAAAAGTGTGAGATGAACATATATGTATATTGATTCACATGTAATAAGTATTATTTATTTAAATAAATTTCAATGGGCGCATTCAGCAGACTCAACAATTGAATGAGCACTCGCTGTTATTGGTGTATTCTTTTAGATCATTCAATCAGAATTTTTAGATCTAGAAGAATACATTAATAGCAGCGAACGCTCACTCAATTGTTGAGTCTGCTAAACGCAGCTAATATCTGTACATATTAGATTTATGATGTATCGATTAATTATCACATAAATATAAAGAAATATAAAAATTTTCGCAAATTACTATTCTATTTTTTATTATAAAGTTAATATTTGTTCGGCAATTATCTAAAATCTGTTTATATTAAATATTAATATAAAATTCAATTTTATTAATTCTAAATAGGCTTTTAATTAAAAAAATTTTAATAAGCACGTACATAAAATAAATTAAAGAAATTTAATTACACGTGTCATATAGGTATCATAGATAACTATTGATTTTTATTTTAAACAAGGAAAGAAAATTTATTACTGTAGTGTATCCTAAATACAATTGCACCGATATAATTTAATAGCGTAATTTACGTTATTACGAAAGTTTTATTAAGCGATTAAACTTTAATATAAAATCCTATAAATGCATTCAAAGATTAAATATCGATATTTAGATTAATTATATGTAATTATCAAGTAGTAGTACAGTTTATATAAATGTATACCTATAAGTTAACTCTAACAATCAGAAAAGTCAAACGCGCGCTACCTTATATAACCTTCTCATAAAATATAAACAGTAAGTTCCAGAAAAACACAAAATATAACAGACAAAATAGAGAATAATAAGGACAAACAATCAACACGAAAATTAACACTCTGCTATTGAAATTCAACTGATCAAGAAGAAATTATCATCGTGTAGGTAATAAGATCTTTGCGGAGAAAAAAATAAAGAAATATTACATGTACAATCTCATAATTTGTTAATATTATACGTTTGTGAGATTCCATACAGTAATTACACATTATAAATCGAAGATTTAAAAGTGAAAGAACAGAACGGTTAATATTGTCTGCATTGAATGTGTATTGATCAAATCTATTACTTCTTCTCAAGATCTTAATAATCGTTAACAACAATGTTTGAGGTATGTATAAGATCTGATTATACTTCTTTTTTATATCTATTTAAAATGTTCATACATATTTGAGAACAAATACAATATATTTTTAAGTAATAATTTTATATACGCAATATAAATGAGAGAGAAAGAAAGAAAGAGAAATCTAATCATTTTTCCGAGCAGGTTGCTATTGATAAACACTACATTAAGAATCATCCCCAATTTAGTAATCCCAATTGGGTTAAAGTCGGTAATGTTCATCATATGTTCATATATCCAATAAAAGGAGGAGAAAAAATGCTACATCACTCTTTTAGATATAATCACAATGGAATGATAATGACTCAATCAGAAAATCGAGAATTGTGGGACGGGTTAGTGTAAAATACAAAGATTTGTTTCTTTGATAGTAACTCTATGCAATTAAAATAAGTATTGCTAAAGGTGTAGCTCACTCATCATTCAATATAATATTTATATCTTATGATCATTAAAGTATTTAATATTAAAAATTTGACGTTATTAATATTGTTGTGATTGTAATTGAGAGGATGGATGGAATAAAGGCACAATTCTATTTATTAGGCCCTTTTTCCGGAGATTAGCTCTTTTATATAATAATTATCATAATAAAGAAGTATTGTAACATGTAATTTCTTAAAGACGTTACATAATTTCATTTCCTATTGTATCATTGTATATGTACTGTACTTGTATAATGAAAAGTAGCAAGTTATTTTAATTTTCATTAAAATCAAGATTTTGTGATTAGGCTTTTATTCCGCCCATCCCTTCAATTAAAGTACAACTTAATTATTATTAAAGATTTCGAATCATTGTTAAACTCAAGTATGGTATCTTCTTTTTATAAAATCTGACTAAAATAGGATATTAGTTGTATTTATTTAGAAAACATCAACAGTTTTTATGCAATACTTATAAAATCGATGATAGGTACCTAATTGCATATATGACTAACGTATAAAAAAGAAATATAGCAATTTGAAATATTAATATACAATATTTAACTACCAATAACGCGTATTCAAGTAATTTTGTAAATTCTGGTAAATAAAGTTTATATTACACAATTTGTCGAAAGTAATGTTAAAGAACGATAGCAATTTAGGGCCAAAATTTGCCTGTGATGAAAACATATGAAATCAGTCAATCTTTATAGATTTGGACGTGCTAAACTCAAATATGAAGTTTTAAATTCTCCAAAGTCTGAGGAACTTTGGAGAATTTTAAGCTTTACTTTGCAGCAAAATATTGTATTTCCCGATGAACAAATAGTAACTGAACAAGAAACCTCTTTTTCTATTATAATGAGCTCAAAAACTTCAACTTTTTTGTAATGTAAAAGTCAACGATATATGGCGTACAATAACATGAACAAAACAAAAATGAATATCCGTACCTACGAGCGTAGGCATGCGTGCTTTTTCACCATCAGCATTAATTTTATCCAAGATACACCGCGTGGAGTTTACTGAATTGGGTATATCTTACAAGAAAAGGGACCCAACTGGTCCCCTCCGATCTTAATGAGCTTTTAGTATGTTATTCTCCAGACAAATAAGCGACACGTATTTTTTTATACGTTCCCGCTTTCACTTAATGGGGTGAAACACCTTTGAAAAAAATCGTTTTTCTCTTTCGAATATCATCGAAATTGTAAGAGATAGAAAAAAATGTTTGACATGAATGTAGCACGGTTTCAAAAGTACTGTATAATAAAAAAGAAAAAAATTTTTTTTTAATTTTTTATACGCACGCTTGTCCACGCGCGGACATTTATATTTGTTTTGTACGCCATATAACATTGACTTTTACATTGCAAAAACGTTGAGGTCATTATAATAAAAAAACAGGTTTCTTGTTCAGTTACTATTTGTTCATTGGGTAATACAATATTTTACTGCAAAGTAAAACTTAAAATTCTCCAAAGTCCGGGGAACTTTGTGAAAATGAAATTTTTGTTCTTTGCAGAAACATTACATTTTCACAAAGTTCCTCGGACTTTGGAGAATTTTAAACTTCATATTTGAGTTCAGCACGTCCAAGTCTATAAAGATTGACCGATTTCATACACTGAAAAAAATGCATGTAATTTTACATGCATTTTTTGGAAATTACATGTTCATGACTGGAAAATTGTCTAAAGATGATTGGAAATTTACAATTTCCAGTAAATTTCCAAGCATATTTATGTAATTTAGATAATTTTCCAGTCATATACACGTAATTTCCATGTAAAATTACATGCATTTTTTTCAGTGTACGTTTTCATCACAGGCAAATTTTGGCCCTAAACTGCCACCGTTCTTTTCACTATGCATTTCAGGATGTTCTTATTATATAATCAGCAAACCAAAAAAATTCTACACTGGTCAAATACTGGTCTGTTGGCTTCAATATCTGTTGACATGACACAACGTGGAACCAAGATATTTCGCAGTGCATTACTGGACAATTTAGATGTTTTAAGTATCACAGAGCAAAGCATGAAAAAAAATAACATAATTTGTTATTACTCGTCATGGCATACCGGCAAACCAGTAAAACTTATTGATCATGGCGATAAAGCTGCCGAATGGATAACCAGGTATGTATTCATTAACTATTAATATTTCGCATTTATGTTATTATATAAAGAATATATTAAATATAAACAAATTAATATTCACAGGTGTTTGAAATTTGACACACCTATACGTTTATTAGAAAGAAGCTGTGATCCTTTAATCGAGGAACCAAATATTATAAGAGAAAATTGGATAGATTATTGCGCGATATACTCAACTAGATCAGATGAAAGGCCGGTAATTAATACGTTTCAAATTATAGTGTTTATTTATATTATTTGTTAACATAACAAGATTATTAAACGTTTTAATCTTAACTATCCAAAAGTAGGTAAGTTCATTATATGAAGCACTATCACCAAAAAACAAACAAAAGACACATAAGGGAAAATAGTGTAACTTTGACCAATTTTGACATTTTTTCTTGTGCAAGTTGTATTGATGTCTAAAAATTCAAAAAAATTCTAAAATATTCTTTGAAATGTTGACACTAAGATATATTTTTTTATAGATTTAAATTGTTATCTTTTGTACATCTTTTTTAATATTAGAAAAAAATTGAATTTTGGTAAAAGGTACAACACCCCTGTTGTATCTCTGACTAGGGAGTGTTTTAGGTACCTCCACCGTGCTTCACAGTTGGTATTTGATATCGCGAATCATTTCTAGTGCCTTTTGGTCGTCGAACGTACCGTCTACCATCATTTCCAAACAAATTAATTTTAGTTTCATCTGAAAACATCACTTTCTTCCAATCTTCAACAGTCCAGTTACGGTGTTTTTTTGCAAATTCTAATCTGGCCTTCTTATTTTTTTTGCTAATAAGCGGTTTCTTAACTCCAACGCGTCCAAAAAGTCCCACTTCTGTCAATCTGCGTGAAACCGTACTTTGACTTATGTCAGCCAATTTTTCTTCGCGTAACTCGCGTGCGATGACCGCGGCATTCTTTTTCACATCTACGACAGCCTTTCTCTTAATCACTTTATCGACACGATTAGTAGTTTTTCTTGGCCTCCCAGGGCAGGGTTTATCTTTTAGAGCACCTGTAGTCTTGAATTTATTTATTATATCGTTAACAGTCGATTTACCTAATTCTAAAACATCAGCTATTTCACGTGAAACTTTTCCTTCGTTGTGAAACTTGATCACCAATTTACGTATGTCTAAAGACGTGCGTTTTGGCATTTTGACTGAGTATAATTGATCGAATAATAGAAAAGAAACGTGCTCTTAATGTTTACATACCTTCGTGACCGATAACGTAAACAAAGCCGTGCAAATTATACGTTCTTGGAATTTGGCCGAACAATTATGAAGAAGCAAAATGTGTTATTTTAGTTATAAATACGTGTTAATCGTTATAAACAATTTTTTAATTGTGCATTTTAATTACATGTCAAAAGTACTTTATGATGATATATTTGTGTTTTTATTTTGTACCCTTTCTACGTTAATAATGATAAAAATATCTTTGGCCGGACACTTTTGCATGCAACTGTATATAAAACTAAACTTTACCATACAGAGACGCGATTTTCGTTTTTGCATGAAACGATTGAATCTGGCAAAAATAGTGTCCTTCGTTCATTTCATTCAAAATCGCGTCTAATGAGCATTTATTAATACTGGAGGTAAGATAGCTAAACTAATAAAACCAAAGGACCACCATGTTCCTCTATACATGTTTTGAAAACAAATTAATTAATACATTTGTAATTATCGACATTTTATACAAATGTTATTAGAACAAATTCGCCGATATCGACATACCGCTTTGGTTTTAGACAATATTTCTTAAACAAAAGGTAAAAATGAAACTTTAAAAATATAAATACAAATTAAAAAGTGTCTTCTATCAGATAGTATAAGCAGATTTTATAATACTGTTTGTAATTTTGCAATAATTAATTTTTTCGTAAGATAATAAAAAATGGACGTCTGACAATATGGGCTCCAAAACTGACACAGTAGGCAGAATGTGCTACGCATTCCTATTCTTTTTCTTTTACAGGAATTATCTGTATAAAGTATCTACAAGTGCATGTATACATATAAAATTTTCCAGAATCTTTTCACTTCGAAAACATTTTTATTGAATTATATGCATATTTACTTTATGCTATTCTGCAAGATGCAAATATGTAACGCGATAGTTTTTAAGAATTTTTCCCTATGTGCACAATTGCCTTTAGTTCCAATAGAGCTATTTGACACTATAAAGCAACTTTACAAAGATTAAGTTAGCTCATGATTTGTTTCACAGACAGGTGTGCCAGGTTTACGCTGCACCCCGATTTTATATTTAAAACCGTATTATGAAAAAACTAAGAAAGAAAATAATATAAATAAAACTAATTTAGGAAACTACAAGCATTTAAAACGACGTAATATTATAATATAGTCACTATTACTTAAACTACGCAATTTGCAAAATAAAATCGTAAGAATTTTATTTTCGCATTTATAGAAATTGTTTTTAGCTGATTTTGTATAGAAATAAGCCACATATACATGAAAAAAATTTTGCGTTTACACTTTTTTAATTAGCTAAACAGATCATGATTTTAGTGGTATTAATAAAGTGTAATAGTTAGTTTCTGAGAAATAAGGGGATGTCTTTAAAAGACCTATGTCAGTATCGTAACTTTCCTCTACTTTTATGATAAAGGCAATTTATCAAATTTTTATTCTTAGCAACTTATCTAATTGTGAATAAATTATATAGTTAACTGTATCAAGCAATAGTATGCTTATCTTTGCAATCATGAATTAAACAAAATATAAATATATTTAATTTACGATTTATATATAAATATATATAATTTACGAAATTAATGGTATTAATAACAACTATAGATAAAACAATTTTTGATGTCATATAGAGCTAGAAGTTTATAGCACTATATACTGGAAATGAGTTAATTAAATTTATTATTCAAAATAATATGAATATCAAAGTAATTTCTTTTCAACAGGACATGTTCGCAGATTTAACGCGTTGCGTATTAATGACACAAAGTACGTTACGTACACTATTTCAAGAGACAAATATATATAAAAGTTATGTGATTCGTCCAAATATTGTTGTTTCGACAAATTCAACTGTGCCTTTTAGTGAAGAAGATTGGGAATGGGTAAAGATAAGAAATACAATCATTAGGATAATGAAGCCAGTTCCAAAGTAATTACACATACTTACATATATATACCATATATCATATGTATATATATGTATATACATTTCACAATAAAATCAGGGACAATGTATATACACATATATATATATATGTATTATATATATTGGCCCTTTTTTTATTATCAAATCATTTGATACAAATCTAAAATAATTCTAATAAATTTCAAATTTTTATGACGGCTAAGATAAATTTTATCGATCGTATAACATTTTTATTAACCCAACAGTTTTCTAATCTCTAATAACTGATTTTAATTTTTTTGATATTTTATAAAATTAAAAGATATTGTCCCTAATCATATTAAATATATTTTCAGATATACGAGATATAAATTTTAATATTCAATTTTAATTTCTTCCCATTAGTACTACTATATTCCTCCTTTGTTAAACTTTTTAAATATATAACTACTATTCTTTTAATTTCAGATATCGCATTGCGGTGCCTTTTTCATCTTCGACCTTAAAGTACCATCTATTTACTAACGAGGATGATACAGCACATTCAGGAGTTTATTGCGCACCGATCGTATCTGGAGAAATTAAAACAAACGATGACATATACGTTTATTATAATCCTGATAAAGAATTAGCCCTTAACGGACCCTTCAGTTATGCTTTTTAATACTTTTCTAATATCTTTTTAGTACTTGTTTAATATTAATTCGATGTTATAGACTAATTTTTTTTATCTCTTTGTACTTGCTTACACAAATCAAATTAAAAGTTTATTTAATGCAGTAATAATTCGATTTGTGTAAAGAAGAATAAAAGTATACATGATTAAACATAATCTTATTTTAACAATTATTATTATTATCAATTACATTAATTTTGACAAGCAATTATTTATCAATTTAAATTTTTTAAAATATGTAAAATGAAATTGCAAAAAGAGATATTTTATAATCGACATAATTTTATTCTAAACGGTGCTGGGCATCGAAACTTAAAAATTACTTCCATTTTTAAAAATAAAAATATACAAATATACTTTTTAATTTTCCAGATTAATTTCTTGGCGATGAAGATATCCGTAATAAAATTTTGTCTTTGCAATTTTATCTTCTGTTTTTTAAACTTAGTTTTAGAAATAATTTTATGCAAAAAATTAAAATAAGATAATGTTATAATATCTATAATTATACAATATTTTTGCTATTTATAATGACAAATAGTTTGAATATTTTTATTTGATGTATTACAATAGCGGCTCTATATCAATGTGGATAGATTAGAAAGATCAACTTTTATCTAAAGAAATGAAAAATAGTATATATGAAATATAGAATATATGAAAATATAGAACATATGAAAAACTGTAAAAAAATTATTTGCATATAAAAGTCAATTTTTTTTAAATATAATGCACTTTGATCTACTTTCAATATCCTGTACTCTAATAACTGTTATCAACTTGAATTTATCCATTATTTATACTTATTAAAGGAAATTATAGGTATTAAAGGAAAATATAGTAGGCAAATGAGAGTTAAACGCGGTAATTGGAGCGCAAATTAATTGTTTGTTGTGTACTTTTTAAATTATTTCCTTAAATCAACGTCAAACGTTTTGGCTTCATTCTTAGCCATCTTCAGTAAGTAAAATTTAATATAATAATAAGCGTAGTTTTTTCTCAAGCATTAAAAGGGATGAAGCCGAAATGTCTGATGTTGATTTAAGAATGATTTAAGAAGAACACAATAAACAATTAATTTGCGCTCTAATTACCGCATAGGACTCGATCTCATTTGCCCGTTATATTTTTCTTTAGTCTTTTTTTAATTTTGAAAAGTCCTAATTGTGTATCTGGAGACACGATAGTATCTCGACGCTAAGACCCTTTTATCTTCTGCGAAGATAAAAGGGTGGTACGGATGGTCTGAAACACCTGGTATATACTTAGGTTTTATTATATAAAAATGAAAGATAGTATCATTTGGATTGTATTCTTTATTTAATTTGGTATGGTTGGTATGGGATTTAACTTGGCGCCAGTTGATATCAAATCTTTTATATGAATGTACATGTCATTAAAGTTATAAGTAAATAATAAAATAGTAAAAAAATAGTAACACTTGAGTTTTACTTTTTAATTTCATAGAATTTAACTTGATTAGTTAATATTGTAGCATTTGGGTTTTAATTTTTCATTTAGTACATTAGTTTTTTTCGAGGAGTAAGTTTTGACAGAGAATTAAAGTTGTCATTACTTGGATTGGAATAAGAAGAGCTTCGATAAGAATATCCTTGAAGAATATAACTAAAAACTACTATTATTTAGGTTGGACATTTAAGTTTTATTCTAGAAGCACATATATTCTTAGCGCCTTTTTTTACCTTTTTTAAAAAGATTTTTTATACTGTATCCTTGAAAATTTCACACATACATAATATGCAAGAAACTTTCCTAATACCTTATTTTATTAAATATTTTTATGTGGATTTATTAAAAGGTTCTTTATGTAGATAACTCAATTTTTTTCAATTGCAATACTAATAATAAATTATCCTTACATATATTTTTTAAATGTATTTTTTAAATGTAGAAAGTATTATTAACTTGTTATAACTATTTCTACGATATAATAGTAACTGTACTGACAATAAGTAAAAATAATAATTATCATTTTTATAAATTAATATTTATAAATCAATAATTCTCCTGTAGACGCATGACAAAATATTTAATCGTAGACATAATACGATTTCATGGTTGTTAATAGAACATTCGATTCGAATTAACCGCCATAACATGGACGGCGTTGAAAGTAACTTCTTTATTGGCTGTTAGGAAACGCTGTGCCAGAGCATATCTTTTGTATTTCCATCATGGTAGTCAAAAGCCTTATCAGAAGAAAGTCAAAGTATGAGTAGGGATGATAACAACGTACACGCACACTCACTCCTTCCATAATGCCTTCTTATATCAAGACTCTTTTTGTGTCCCTTCTTTGATCAGTCGACATGTTGAAGTTTATCAAGATGGACATCGCAACATCGTGGTTGCAATTATTTATAATAATATTTGGATTACTCGTGTCGTCCAGTTCATGTAGCAAACCGGACAGTAAGTAAAACATATTACATTTTTATTTCAGAATATTATACGTTCTTTTGGAATACAAAATATAAATACAAAACCTTGTAAGATGTTTAATATTAAGCCACTAAATAAATTATTTGATCATTGTGCATTACATTTTACCCATCGTTAATAATTAATTTAAATTTTGTTCATAAAATAACACTTAAAATTTAACAATACCAGAGTGAAAATTTTTATATGCAGTTATATATAACTATATATAATATATATGACTATATATGATTATACATGATTATACACATTGAAAGAAAAATTTTGTTAATTTAACAAGCCATCAGTACCTTTAACAAATGATTTATAAATATGTGACAACAAATTGATTTGTTATGATTGTTGCCAGTCTGCTATACCAACTAAGCAAACTATAGAATCTAACCTTTTTTTTGGCTAGACTTTATTTACTGATTATTTTGATTATTTGTTACATTGACGAATAATGAGAAATGGTTTGCAATACTAACTGATCGTTTTCTTACCAAATCATCACATTTATTGATCCTTGATTTGTTCCTATAACGATGTCATTTCTCACAGTACAGGGTGTCCTAAAATTTTTGACACACTGCTTATGGGCAGATAAAGCGGACTAAATTGAATCGAAGTCTTTTACTTTTTGCATGAAGAACGTACCATATTAGGTGAAAATTTTATAAATGGCATATTTTGAAAGTTTTAAGAATCTTGAAAATAAGCCTTGTTTATCTAATTGTTATGAAAAAAGTAGAAAAATATTAATTAATTAAGATCATACAAGAACCCGAAGTTCATACAAGAGTTACTCTGATATATAGAATAACGTATTAAAATTTTAGATCAATTAGTCAAGTATAGTTTCTTTGTAATTATATCCAATAGCGAACCATCATTTTTTAGAGGCGCCGTGGAAAAACCTGAAATTATTATACATTAAAACCATAAAAAAAACACAAAAAATTTTTATATACCTTTTAAAATTAATAAAATATAGTATAAAAAGTTTCAAATCAATGCGTGCGTGCGTGCGTGCGTGCGTGTCTCTATTTTATTACAAAAAAGTCTCTAAAAATTGGCAGAATTTTCAGTCGAGACACTAGAATGTCCTCTTAAGATATCTTTAAGAGTTCTTTAAAAAACATTTTTAAAAAACTCTGAAAGATATCTTAAAATTGTCTTATGCGTCGATTTTATCCGCTTATTCAGAAATCTTTAAAAATTAATATCTTGCTAACTGTTGCGAAAATTGCAAAATAATAAAAGACTTTTCGACTCAGTCCAGTCTATCTGCCTCCAAGCAATGTGTCAAAAAGTTTGGAACATCCTGTTAGTATGTTTTTATACTCTTAACTTCGATTTAATAAGGTTGATGTTATAACTTCTACTTTAAGTGAGTTGCGTTTACACATTCAAGCTTATCTTTATTTCAACTAGGCTAAAAGAATGAAAGAAAGTAAATAAATCAATAAGCTAAGGTCTATATTTAAACGACCCGATTTACACTAAAGTTATAACATCGCGACTGTTTACACGTCATTTTTATGTCGATATAGTAAAGCTATAATTACATTAACAATTGCGTGATTGTGATTAGCGATTGGCGATTATTTTTCAATCGATCAAAAACAGTCATCGATTGCTTTGTTTTATCTGATTAAAAAGTAATCGTTAATCGTCAGTCACAATCGTGCAGGGTGATTACGGTCTAAAGGCCGATCTCATCAACTCCAATTAGTCAGCCGATTAAATTTCAGAATTACTAAACTGAATCTGGCAACTGTGAAGAATAATGTAATATATGAATATGTATTGTTATTGCCGCATGCATATAGTATCAAAATACGTAAAATTAATTATTTTTATGAAAAGTATTATTTAATTATTAATTAAAGTATTATATTTTACATAAATAAATCATAATTTGCAGAAAATTAGGATGTTTTCAGTTTTGCAGTTGGCACTTCTGAAATTTAATCGTCCGATTGAGCTAATCGGAGTTGGTGAGACCGGCCCTAAGTCTCTTCACCAAACGAGTTATTACATCGATGTAATAACTTTGTCGTAAAATAACGTTTATACGGCATCTAACGTCAATAGTTATAACATCCGATGTTATAACTTCGACATAAATCGGGCTGTATAACATAGTCTATGAATATATCTGCTTTCATATTATATACGTATACAGAAAATTATTGCTAAAATAAATCTTATTGGTTAGTATCACTCATTCTATAGAGAAAGAAAAAGATTACGTAGGATAAAATTATAATTTTAGAAAATGTGTTTGGAAACTATATATACAATTTCATAATATTTCTAATTAGTTACCTCAAGCCATACTCTGACTAACGTTGCTTGACTTCTGTGATTATAAGCCTATTCTACAATTGCGTAAGCGTAGTTGTAAGTGGCTATAGTTGTAAGAATTGACTAATCACAGTCGAATATTTTCCCCATATTTAACTGTGATTAGTTAATTCTTACAACTACAGCCACTTACAACT